CTTTTTTTGGGAGGAGGGAAGAGGGGGGCTGAACATCTTGCAGATAAAAACGGAAGGCCATGCTACCAAAATGAAATAAAGATCAGCCAAACCCCAAGCTCAGGAAGTAAAGCTGAACACGCCATGTAAAAAGGGGGCGGTGAGTAACTACACCTTTTAATCAAAGCTGTTTTCCCTAGGGTGCAATTTTCACCTTTTTTGTTCTAAGCCTAAGTGGCATGGAACACCTCAGAAGCCCCAAATAGCACACAGCAATAGGGTTGATATTCTGAGAAGATTCTTTTTTTTTTTTTGCCTCAGCTCTTGACAATTTAGGAGTTATCATTCCAGTAATAACATAATAGAATTTTAAATAAATAAGAAGCGCATTTCACACATAACCCAACTGGGATGGGAGCAGATGTAATGGCAACACATTATTTTCAGTGCTGTTAATGAATATGGCTTCTATTATACTGCAGTGCGCAAATTATGATATGAAGGGCACATAGGCTTAACATCGCCTATAAAATTCACATAGATAATGATGCGCTAGGGGACTGAGTGTAATTCAGGTATACAGCTACAAGAAAAAATTCCCTTTATGTGAGAGTGAGATGTCCTGGAGGATTTCCATCCCCTCCAAAACAAACCCAGTTTGTAGATAAACAGTAATCGTGCCTACGTCCTACTCTCTACGAAGGCTCTGCCCTTTATAGTGGAAGCTCAGCAGGGTTACTGGATGTACAGGTTGACTCTCAAGTGTTGCACAATCACTGATATATTTATGTCAATACTTATCACGAAACTAAAAATTTAAACAGAAAAGAAAGCAGGAAAACATGCCACTTTTCTTATTTACCAGTTACAATTTGCAGTCGGTTGTGGTGGTTTTCGCTAAAGACGAGACATTCAAAAGAGATCGAGGGGGTATCAATGATTCAGTTTTAAATATCAACATACTGTTTTGATTGTTAGCTTTTTCCATTTTTTGACTGTATGAAACCCTCAAACCCTTAACAATACATCAGTTAAATCCTAATTCAAGTTTCAGTTATGATTCATTTTAACACTGTCTAAAGCAGTGGTTCTCAAAGTGGTCCTCAGGGACCCACAGACAGTTGAAATTTTAGCTCTCTTCCTATGTACTGCAAGTTAAATTGGAGCTCAATTCTTTTGTATGGGGTCCCTGAGAAATTCTAAAGAGCTTACAGAATTCTAAATTTTGACTTGGAGATTTACAATGTACAATCATCAGACATTAAATGAAAGAAATTAATGTAAAATGTACAGTACTGTGCAAAATTAATATTAGAATAAATATACAATACATATGTTATTGTGTTCATTTTCCCTCTAGTTGTAGCAGCTCAGTATTATTTGTAGATATAATCCAGTATCAGGTTTGGCTAACCAATCCTTCATTAGCTTAAATCAGGTGTGTTGGCTGAAGAATTTAACAAATACTTCTAATGGCAGGCGGCATTGAGGGGAAAATCGTAATTAAACCTGTGTTCCTTTAACTAGCTCACAACATTACAAAAAAACAAGAAATTCATGTAACTATTTTTTTTACTGCATTGATGTTTGTTTTGAAGTATTCTAATTTTATATGATGTTTTTAGAAGCAGAAACACACTTGCTGCCTAGACAAATGGTTTTAAACCATTTGCTTAGGTCCCTAAAACTTTTGCACAGTGCTGTATGTTTAATAAAGCTGGCGAGAGCTGAACTGCTAGCTAACATTGACTAAACTTAACGTCACCATCAGAGTAACAGATTCACAAATGTTTCCGTTGGTTGGTCCTTTCAATGTTGCCCACGTAGGGCCCTTTAAAGTGATTGTGGCTATGTAAGTGCCCTTTCCTCAAAGTGCCCTACAGAGGCTTCATTTAGGGCCTACTTCAGCAGACCTAACAGACTCCGTCCCACTCAGTTACCATGTTTAACTCTATACTTTCTTGGGCTGTAGGCGTAAATAGAAAGGAAGATGGCTTTTTTCTCATAAATTGTCTTAGATAAATTGGCCATATAAGTTTACAACAGAATTTTTATGAAATAATTACTATAAGGCAGATGAAGCCCAACAGAGAGTGCTGATGAACTACTTAAGAAGGCTAACAGAACTGAGAACATGGCATTAATCATACATTCTCACAGTTTAATTAACAAATGTTCATTCATTTAGGATAATAAACTGATGCTCACGTTAAATATTCATTTAGTTTGTGGTTTATTTATAAGCTTGAGCTCACTGCTACCACCATGTGGTCAGAATCACCAGCAGGTCGGAGTGAGCTTGGGCTTGAAACTGAGCACAGAGGGTCAATTAATTACAGCATATCCTCTAATCATGTTTTATTTTTTCTTTTAAGATAAGGGTCAACTGAGATAAACTAAATTATATGTACTAAGACAGTTGTCTAAAATGTTAAAACTATTTACACATCACATTTTTAATTTTGAAATAAAAATAAGTTAATATCTAATGTTTGGTGTTTACGTAAAACATTTATTTATGTATGTAATTTCAGTAGGCTATACTTTATCATAGAGCTGGGCGGCAAATATGTAATATCACGATACTTCAAGATGTTTTCATAGTACATGTCACAATATTAAGTTTGTCTGAAATCTGCTAAGTTGGAACAGACAAAGTAGGTTATTTAAAAATTATATCAAAAAATTAAATCCAATTATTTGAAGTTACATTTCACATACTGGGCTGCACTAAATCCAATAAAACAAGACTATTTATGCTCTCCTACTCAAACATGCAGTTGTAAAGTGCTTTTAGGTACTTACTGTATCCATGACATGCTCAGAAACACTGAGCATATCATGGATATGTCATATTGCCAAGCCCTACATCATAGCATCATCACACCCTTTAGATACCGATTAGATCTCAGTCGAGACCATATTGTGGCAGTTCCTCACACGACTGACCTTGCCCGTAGTTACTTTAATTATTAACTGCTATTTAGAACTTGAATGCATACAAACTACTAACCATGCTAATGGATTTAAATATACTGTTCAAGAATCACTAATTCAAGCACTTTGTACTTGTTTATTGTAGTGGTTTAATGTAATTCTTTAATGCACCCTTTTTCTCATGTGACTTCCTTGGGTCTTTGCAGAGTGTTAGCTCTTTCATAATTATTTTAGATGATGAATTAAGGCTCTCTCAAGATGTGTCTCAAAACATGTCTCAAAGACACATGTTTTAGTTTATAAATGTATTTGTAATTAATGAACTGTTTTGTGATAAATTATTTTTTTCCGATTATGGCCCATACAGAAATCATATATATGGCAATATATGGATTTCAAGTAAATGGCATATATTAGCATATAGGGATTTCCCTTATATCTAACTTGTATTTGTCACATGTGGACACATATGACATATGGAATATATCAACTTATTTAAAATTGGCCATTTACAGTATTTCAACCATGTCAACATACACAAAACATTTATGTGTAACACATATTTAACAATTTAATGATGAAAGCATTATTCATATATGAATTACATATTTACTCATATATGCTAGCTTCAACTTAAGGATTTTACTTTGTTTTTTTCACATGCTTCCTAACGAAGTGAAAATTAGTAAAAAAAAAAAAAAAGAAGCTACATTACACTAAAAACATGCACCTTACAAGCTATGCAATAAAAATACTAAAACATGAAATAAAAGAACATATTGCTCCCAAAAATATTTAAATAATTTAATATGTAAAAGCAAACAGATATATAATATATAGTAACAATTATAAGTGTACTGTGTGTGTATATATATATATATATATATATATATATATATATATACACACACACACACACACACACACACATATAGGTGATTATATACTGATCAGATATACATGATGCATGTACATATATTTGAAAATATATGCCTGACCATTAATGATATATATGCATATATGGCCATGTATATCAGATTTCCTTATGAGGAAGGGCTGCTGCAGAGCTGCAAGATGCTTGAAGCTGTTAGAAAGAGGCTAGGCCACTTAATTCATCCACCTTTTTCCTGGTAAGAAATGTTAAGTGCAGGTGGGTCAGCACCTCTATTTATGAAAGGGGCCGTAACAGGACTCTGTGTTGACTTCAGGGCTGCGAGTGTGTTGTGCTGGGTTTGTATCCCTTTCAAGCTCTTCCTCTGGGGACCCGGAGATTCTCCCAGGTGGCTGCTAAATGCTCTGGGAACCGTGTGACATCACTACAGGGGACTGACCCGCACTTATCCCGCTGCCTGGGCAGGTATTGTCCCGACATGTCAAACAGCTAAAGAGCCAGTGATCCTCTTACATCCGCTCAGCCGTTCCACAAGGGCGCAGATGGAGAAAAAGAGAGCATGTTCCCCCCACAAAGTGAGCAGAGAGTTTAAGGGGGAATGGAGGGCACAACAGGGCAAACATCACCAATCAGAATGTCAGTCACATTTCACTCCTATTTGTGAAGATCACACACAAACACACTAATCACTCTCTCAGTGTGGACCAGAGTGAAAGTGGAGGCTCCAGTAACTTGACTCAGTGCTAAAAGGGTCACTTGTAAACTAACAACATGAGCTCATGTCACCTGTAGGGCGACAGACCATGTAGTCAAAATAAAGATGTTTTCCTCTCTATTCAATATGTTCCCACTGCAGCTATATAGAATGAACTTTCCATCTATTGTGCATGCAATCAGTGTGTTATTCTGAGACACCTGATTTCAGATACAATGTAAGAGCAAGACAAGCACAAACACAGAATAATGCTATAATCAGTGCACTAACCTGATCCTAGCAAATTCTGTTAGATGTTATATATTTCTCTACGCCTTACTGCAATGCTACCATAGCATCATTTAGGCATAACAGTAATTTAATAGTAATTTAATTACAGCCACCAGCCCTGCAAGAGGAAGAAAAAACCTTCCTTTCAGTATCACTGCTTTGCCCCCTAGTGGACATTTTTTTTTTATCATTACAGTGATGCAAGATTTAACTTCTCACTCATATCTTACAAACTCAATTATGAATTTAACTGTTTTCCATGTAATTAAAGAATAATAAGACTTTGGACATAAGAGCCTTGGGAGTTTTAGGGGCTAACAACCTGAATAACATTACACATATAATGTACACTGACAAATACTGATCTGACTTCCTGCAAGTATTAAATTTTGGTACATATTTATAACATTAAAATACAGGACTTTGATTTTGTGAAAGATCTGCTTATTTCAGAGACTGTGATGTAAACAGTCAGAGTGGTTTAATATAAAACGACAAACTTTGGACAAACAACTGATTTCTTTACAGTGGTGGTGATACAAAAAGAGGTTGCAATGTCTACACAACAAACTGCAAACACTAGATGCTCTATTTACTATCCAAAACAACCAGTGAAGCCTCACATATCTCCTGTTTATATATAATGTTGATAATGTTAAAATATTAGTAAAACCAGGGATGGACAAATGGTTTTGCCTTACAACACCCAGAATGGGTCTTCTGCCCTGCATATTTTAAAAATATGTTTTAGGCCAAAACCTTCTCAAAGCTATCGTGAAACACCCTCTCAAACGTCAGGCAATCCATTTGTAATTTTGTGTAATAGCTTTCTGTGAGGGAGCATTTAGAGGCATTAAACTCTTCAGATGTGTGGTTCCTGACACTACCACTGTGACGAGGTTTCTCCAAAATTACGTTGTTTGCATCCTGAAAATTGATATACAGAAATTAGGAAAAATTGCCACAGTTCCCCCTCAAAGAGACCTTAAGCGTGCAGTAATTTGCTTCTTGTGTCACTTCTAAAAATAAAAGTCCATCTGTTTCCAACATTTCCACCAGTCACATAAAATGTTCCTCCACCACACTTAATGCACTTCACAAATACCTCAGATGCAGCTTTTATTGCAGCTTGCTTTTCTTTGGGAAGCCCCAAGCAAAAGGCACTAGTTCAGAGGTTTAAAAAAACCAAATGTACAACATAACATAAAAATGGGTCACATGAGTACAAAGAGAGAGATATTGGCCATCAAAAAAGAAAAACACACAAACACTCAAACAGACATTCTGAGTGACAAGTAACTGTACCGCCCTGTTCATTCCTACATTGCTCTGGACAGTAGGAAACACAGTAGCAAATGAGCAGCAATCCTCTAGCATCTGCCCAAGGCTGCTGTGCACGCACATTTTTCAAAACATGAGGTCGTCTCCCACTGACATTCACGTATTTGCCTAAATCACAAAACTGTGATTTCCTCAAGTGATTCACCAGTCATGGCTCCATTATTACAAGAGGGTGCTCAGAAATGACACATTTAAAAATGTAACACGCAAACAAACCGGTCTTGCCAACAAGTCTCAGAGGCCCACAATCTCCCTCGTCCATATATATATGAAAATACTGCTGTAAAAGTGCCAGTGCATCTGAAAATAACGAAAAATAAAACCTTTTAAACTACACATACAAGTGCTTGTGGCTGCTACAAATGTTGTAAGACATAAAATAAAAATAGATGATTGTCTTTGGGGTAGAAAAAACTGTCATTTGAAAAATTAACTTCTGTGCTAACGCTGAATACCATAAACAATCTGCAATAAAATCTCCAGTAGGCTAGCATATTTTAAAAGAAACTAAAACTTACACAGTATAAATTCTATATTAGACTCACTGCTATTCCATAAGGGAACAGTTTATCACATAAAATAAGATTATCTACAGTACAAAAATATGTCACATCATTTTCCAAAGAGACAGTAACATTTATCTTTCAGAGAAGACTCAAACACTCATGTTGAAAGTCAGTTTCATCATACAATAATAACCACTGCTTCCTGAAAACAGCTGTTGGGAAATAAACCAACAGCAGCAGGTCAAACTGAGGCACAGGTTGCAAAATCCTGGAGGTCAAAACCAGGCTTTGGTGGGTTAAGTCTAGTCCAGTCTGTGAGCTGGCCAGCCAAGTCAGCTGGGGGACACTCCTGTAGGGACAATGGCTGGCGTGTGAAATGAGGAACATGAGCCTTGGTTGCTGAGGAGTTTAAAGAGCAGCTCCTCTTTTTCCTGACTGAGCTTCTGCGTCTGCAGGGTTTGCTTCTCCAGTGCCTCCTGCAGCTCATTCTGCTCCTTGGACAGTTGACTGAAAAAGAAGAAGGAAATAAAGGTCAACAGTGCATTATTCCAGGTGAATCAAGTCCACACCTAGCTTCCTTTACCCTCTGGAAGTATTCTTATTTCAATGGGCACCATAAGAAGTGCAAGACAAAGGTAACCACTAGGTGGTGGTATATACTAATTCACGTTTTCTACGTCAGGGGTCATAAATTCTTGTCCTTGAGGATTGGAATCCAGCAGAGTTTGGTTATTTTCAGCATTTTATACACCTGATTCAACTAATGAGTTAATTAACAAGTTTGGTAGTGAGTTAACGCAGCAAAACCACATAACTGTTAACTCACCAGGACTAGAACTGATGAACCCCTGGCTTATGTTCGTCCAACAAAACAAGCAGTTTTACAACTGTTTGCATCAGCAAGTCAATTCATATAGCCATATTTTGAACATGCCAGCTGATCTGACTGAAGGTTATTTAACTCTGGCCATTTCTCAGATATCTCAAACTCTTGGGGGACATTGAAACCATGGCATAGGAATGCATACTGTATTAGTGTTTGATAGTTGTCTATCCGAACTCTCAGATCCTCGTTCTGCTGCAAAACCTGCAAGACCTGGTCCTCCAGAGCAAGGTTCTTTTCAATCTGGGAAACAGCATACAAGATTTGTTAAACAAGCTGAAGAAATCTGTTAATCAAACACAGGGGTGAAGATTTTTTTCATGACTATGAAAAGCACGATAAAGGAAGAGTAAAAAGAATATATAAAGAATATGATGAATGTTCTGATGAATGACTGGTAGGTTCATTATTCTAGAGTATTGCATCGCACCCCTAAACCAAAAACCAATCAATGTAGAATACAGTGTAAAAGTCTGACTATCCTTTCATTTATTTAATTCCCTGTCAAACTGCCATCATTCATTTTTCAGCATCAGGAAAAAAAGCAAGAAATATATAGTCACTGTCCAAAGAAAAACAAGTATCTCCAAAACGGTAACTTCAAAATGGAGGTTAATGTAAAAAATGTGGAGATTAATGTAAAAAGATTGTACTCCAAGCAATTTAACATTTCTATTGGTCCATTCACCATGAAATTGTCACACAATGTAAAGGACAACCGCTGTGCTCAAATGATGCAGAAACATACAAATCGCAAAAAATTGAGATTTTTATAATCTAATTTATAGCTACAATGTATTTAACAGAAAAGCCTCTAATACCAGTATAATATCAATCCATCAGTATTTGATTTGTCCTCTCTTTTTGTGCATCTACTGCCATTTTCATTTTTCCATCGGATCTTAAAACTGATGAGTTACAGCTGTGTTCTCCCAACAAAGAAGTTCCCCAAGGAATCAGTGACATTATGTTTCTCTTCAAAGAAACATTAACACAAGCATCTACTCAAAACACACTTTAGCTGCCTTGCAGATTTCTCTCTCATGTACATTTAAAATGGTTAAAGGAGATATTTTTGAGAAAATTAGATAGGGAAACGCCAAAGGCTAATAAGTGAAAAAACAGGAGTTCTGAAATACGGAGTTCAAAAAATTACTAAAAGATACAGAGAAAATAAGATTAACAACCAACAACAAGACCTGGTAGACCACCAAAACTACCAACGGATTAACAGTACTTAAAGCTTTCGTCTCAAAAAATACACAGCTGTGTCTGTCCATCCTTCCACTGTGAGAGGACAACAACACTATGAGTCTGAAAGGATGTGTAGCTGTCAAGAAGCTGTTTTGAGAAAAGAAAAAGACAAAAAAAAAATTTGCACAAGAAAATTAAAATTGGACATTTTAGATGTAAAGTATTGACAGATGAGTCTAAATTTGTAATTTGGTTTACTTCACAGAAAATGCAACCAACATCCAAGACTGAACTTTGGAGAATGGAAAAATATCCCTGCAGATTTCTGTGAACAACTGAAAGCACGCATCCTGACAAGAACAGAACCTATAATAAAGACAAAGACCGTACATACCAAATACCGAAAAAATTTGACATTACATTTAGTTGTTGAGGCTGCTTTCCATGCATTAAGCTTGTACTTAATGGCCACTTTGACTGGAAATTGAACATGAAATGGTGGTATCTGACTTTGCACAGCACTGTAGATTTGTATGGTGGATTTCCACCCAAAGCATCCGCTAAGATTTTCTTATTTAACTGATGCTGAGCTTATGCTTCACACAATGGCTGAACATGTATAATACTGCATTATATACCAATTCAGGGTTGTCACAGTTGTTAGGGAATGGTCTTGTATTATTTGGAGAAATTGTACATGTACACATTTGTACATCTCAGGTTTTAAAAAGGGAAATATAACAGAGACCTGTAATGCTTATATTTGGTCTAAAATCTCAGAAGAGTCAGCTTATGTACCAACCCAAACAATGGCATAAAGAAACTCAGCATTTTCGCGAACTAGCACTTTAAATCCAGCCTCAGACTGCAAGAGGAGGAGGTCAGCTGTTTCCATCCTGACCAAAAATGGTGAGTGGGAGTTTATACCAGCGCCTCCATCTGCCGCAGCTTGCTTCCCTGCTCCTGTAAACGCTCCCTCTTCATCTCTATGACAATTAGCAGACTCTCCTGCTCCTGCTCCCAGAATGCACCAGGACTGCCATGAGTCTAACACAAAGAGAGCAAGATTCACGAAGGATTCTGCAACTGTTGCACTGCACTACTTTTGAAAGCATTACACTATATCACACAAATATTTGCTAAACATCGGTTCCAGCTGTAACCTCTATGTTTCTCTGAAGGTCTCTCTTCAGCGTGGACTCCTTCACTCGCTGCTTTAACTCTGTGAACAGCTTCAAGTCCGCCGTCAGTGCTTCAATCTGCCCCTGTCGAAAGTTCATACAAAGTTCACACCACAAGATCACTTTCAAATGTCACAGTGGAATGTGCAACATGACACACCAAGGCCCGGTTTATAAAGTTCCCTTTCAAATAGATTTCATAAATGGTAAACTTCAACAGCCAGTTAGAAGCGCTTTATTAGTCACATGCTGTACCTTCAGAGCACTTTCAGCTGCTATGTGCGCTTCCTTTACAGCATTCTTCTCTTCATTGTGTACACGCTGCATCTCTGTGGAGGACAAATCATCCACTTTATTCTCTCAATGTACATAAATAGGAAAGTGCATGCTTGCTGTTATAGCTAGAGGCTCAGACCTTCTGCTTCTCTTTGGTGCTGCTCTGTGGCGGTCTTCATCTGCTTCTCATGAAGAGCACTGAGCTCAGCGGTAATCTCATTGCTCACCTGTTTACATGATGATAGATCACATGATTAATAAAACACTTTACAGCCATGCAGATTCATAAAACAGTTGCTGACTTGAACTGAAAAAAGCAAACACACCACTTCACTAAAATAATTCAAATGCAAATAAGGCTCACAGCTGGGTTCTGACTGCTACTCCTAAAGAAGATGTGGTTATAAACCAAACAGGAAATGATGAATGCACAACTGTAGTGCATGAAAAGCATCTGATGCCTCCATTTACTACCCCAGATTACTTGTGTACTGTAGCAGTGGAAAGATGGGCCATTTCAGATGGGCACAACAAATTCACGGGTGGGCTGAATCTTGATTTTCACTCCTGTGGAAGGGGGTATAGCCTAGAGACTAGAGTCTCTGAGTCGTTTGCCAAGTATAATTCAAGCGACAGGAAAATAAATTGCAGGAGATGCCAGCTTGCTAGTCCACCAGAAACAAAACTCTATTGGGAGATCCAAATAGAAAAAAATAACTTGTATCTTCTGTTATGGACACATGATCAACAATAACCTACATACATTTAATATGTTCACAATTTCTAGCATTTCTGCTTCCAATGTTAATGAGCTGGTTCATGACTACGATACGTTCAGAGCTGGCTAACTGTACATACTGTATTTATCTAATACTATGTGGTGTGCCTGGCTACTTTCATACTTACAACAAGCTGTGTTCCAACACTTCCAGTCTTGTAAACCATCTAGTGATCCTCCCTACATTTATGTCCATAGGGCTGACATTATTGAGCCCTTAGAAGCGATAGTCATACTTCTTGTACCACAGCAGTGAGATTGAGTCTAGATTCAGAGCTGTAAACTGTAGCTGGGTGTTTGAGAGTGTTGGTGGCACAGGAGCGAGCAATCTTTAGTAAAAGACTCACAGTTAAAATTTTTGGTTAAACTGGGATTTTGATTGGTTGATGTCAAAAATGCTCATTTTGTATTTTATTTTAATTTTTGTTAAACTCAGCAATATAAACAGAAACTGTGCACTACAATTTGCAGAAAAACAGCATATTAAGGCTTGCTCCCTGGAGAGGATATGTTCATTTACACTGATCAGACATAACATTATGATCAACTCCTTGTTTCTACGCTCATTATCCATTTTATCAGCTCCACATACTATATAGGTGCACTTTGTAGTTCTACAATTACAGACTGTAGTCCATCGGTTTCTTTGCATACTTTGCTAGCTCGCTTTCACCCTGTGCTTCAGTGGTCAGGACCCATGGACCCTCACAGAACAGGTACTATTTGGGTGGTGGATCATTCTCAGCACTGCAGTAACACTGGAGTGTTAGTGTGTGCTGTGCTGGTATGAGTGGATCAGACACAGCAGTGCTGCTGGAGTTTTTAAACACTGTGTCCACTCACTGTCCACTCTATTAGACACTTCTGTCTTTTCGGTGCACCTAGTAGATGTAAAGTCAGAGATAGTAGCTCAGCTGCTGCTGCACAGTTTGTGTTGGTCATCCTCTAGTCCTTCATCAGTGGTCACAGGACGCTGCCCACAGGACGCTGTTGGCTGGATATTTTTGGTTGGTGGACTGTTCTCAGTCCAGCAGTGATGCTGAGGTGTTTAAAAACTCCAGCAGCACTGCTGTGTCTGATCCACTTGTACCAGCGCAACACACACTAACACACCACCACCACATTAGCGTTACTGTAGTGCTGAGAATGATCCATCACCCAAATAGTACCTGCTGTCAGGGTCCATGGGGGTGTTAACCACTGAAGAACAGGGTAAAAGGGGGCTAACAAAGTATGCAGAGAAACAGTTGGACTACAGCCTGTAATTGTAGAACTAAGTGGAGCTGATAAAATGGATAATGAGCGTTGAAACAAGGAGGTGCTCATAGTGTTATGCCTGATCGGTGTACTTTCACTAAGAAAAACTTCATAATGTGTAATTTGACGGTGTATATATTTTGTGTTTTGGTTTATTTATTACTAGTATTTTAATGCAACCTAACATAGGATTTGGGAATCTGGAGACCTTTCTGTAGAAAATATGTAATTGCACACAATATGGGGAAAAACATTTTGTAACGTGGGTTTACGCTTGGACCCCCACAAGTGGATGAATCTAACTTTTGCGAGTGCGTTCAAATAGTATTTTCAGAGAACTCGGTCATAACTTGGTGAAGGACGTGTCTTCTGAGGACGTAAGTGAATTATCTACTACTGTCAACGTATATTCATCAGTATAATGTTGCTTGTGCCTTTCAGACTTATACATTGAGTCTGACCTTCTTTTTGAGCCTGTGCATGTAATGTTAATACATAAAGACATGATCCAAAAACCTCCTGCCAAATCCATTACTGTATTTATTAAGTTATAGGGTCCATTTTTCTCAGTTTTTCCTCTCTGCCAGAAGTCACAATCTTTCAGTTTCAATTTAACTTGTGATTTTAATCAACAACATTACCAATATCTCATAAATTCTCTACAATCCAAGTAAAACAGCAGTAAGTTTGCTTTGGGTTTATTACTCAAGTCTCTACATTAATCATGACTTCATTTTCCAGCACATGCATACAACAGGGTCCTCTCTATCAAAGGTGCAACTGCAGAATTTAATAAAATTTAAAGGCATATAATTCAGTTCTTGTTGGCTAATAAAACTGATGGTAAACGTCAAGGTTGTCTGCTGTACAAATCCATCATTTAAGGGATTTAGGTCTCACTGCAGAGTAAATAAACACGCTATCTTTTGTTTCCCTTGTAAAACAAGCTCTCTTCTGTAGTGTGTTTGCACACACAAAGCCAGCTCTCTTTACAAGGCCATGAATGGCATGCCTTCCAGTGAACAGGTCTAGCTTTGCTGGTCAGAGGCTGCAACAAGGACAGATGTGCCAAAGCGCTTTCACTCCATGCTCTGCCCAAGAGGGAGTGGTAACAAATGCACTCAGAATCGGCACTGTTCCCAATGACTCTGTAATGGGAAAAGCATGGCTTGTTTATTACTGGTGACAGTTTCACAATATATATCCTGCTGACATCATCTGGCATTTGTTCTCTAATCATTCTGCTTGAAGCTACATGTCCTTGAAAAAAAAAACTGGTTTCCATTCAAAGGCAAGTAGTAACTTTTAGTGCCTAAATGCCAATTCAGACATGTTTATATAAAATGGGGGATTAGACTCTACACAAAAGTGCTTTACCTTCTCAACGATTCTTTGGACGAGCATGCAGAGTTCTCCGTGCTGATGGTCCTTCAGGAGCTGCTCTCGCTCTTTAACTGACCCTGCCAGAACTGCATGCAGAACTTTTAGCTGCTGTTCGTACTTTTCCAGCAGTGTCTCCGGGCTGATGCTCTGCTCCTCCACAGGGAGCTTTCCTGGAGGATGACAACACAGTGCAGTGAGCCATCACACATCTCAACTACCTGCTCTACAACTCATCTTGACATGACAGGTTGTATTTAAACATGACAGGTTGCATTTAAATATAAAAAACTTTAAAACCTTTTGAAACATTAAAACAATCAAATTCCACATTAATCTAGAGAAGTGGAGCTCCTCTGACAATATGCTCCATGTGTGGACTTCCAGGACAGATATACTTTACATCTGCAGGGTCATCTGTATTGGCTGTCCTTTAGATTAGTGTATATAGATCGATGTGCAGCAGACATTTTTTCTACACGTTTTTTTTTTGTTGTTTTGATAGCCAACCAGAGGATAAAATACCATCCAGTTAATCAAACAAAGCAAGGATTTACATTTAAAAGAGGCTCCTACCCCACATTTAAAACATTACTGCTAGTCATTTATAGTGTTCCAGTGCGCTGAAGGTTTTGGGACAACTTTTGAAAAACATTTGTCTATAAACTTTCAAAAAACAAGAATCTTTTCAGAACAGTTGCTGGAAAACTACAAATTGCTGTTGTCGGGTCGTTTTTCTGTTTTTGACATAATTTGAAAATGCCTGTTGTCCTTTACATTGCGTGTAAATTTCATGATTAATGGACCAAAAGAAATGACCAAAAATTTGGAAAAAAGTCTGGTTCCATTGACTTAAATTAAAAGTAAAGAAGGTTTTTTCCTTCTCCTGTGAACTTATCATTCTGGAGATACAAGTTTTCTTCCAACAACAGCAAAATGCTATCTGAGGTCAGTAAGGTGGAGGCTGGAGACATGAGAAACGTCAGGAATGGGATGTGGTTCTATACAGCTACATCGCAACGCACATCACAAGAAAGAGCATTAATTAAAACCACCTACGGATAGTGCTGAGAAAAATGGTCACAGATATTTCACTGTTTGGATTATTTATTTATATTGTTTCATTCTGTATGTATTTGTTTGTTTTTTGCCTTGGATACTATTTTTATCTTTGACATTTATATTTGCATTCAGTAACGGGTATTACTGAAAAGCTGAGATTGTGCTGAATCAGATGACGTAAAAAAACTGCAGACAGTATACTGCACATCTGCTTTACAGTTTAAAAATAACCAGATATGACCACTTCTAGGCTTAGTCTTTAAAGGGTTAAATGAGCAATTTGGCAAAACAAATTCACGATGATATGGGAATCATGGGCTGATCTCCCATATTTTTTCATGTACATATTTGCCAATGTCAATACATAAACATTTACAAAATATAGACATTGCGACTACATCTTCTTGGATTAGCATTTCATTTATTTCTCCAGGGTACAAATTTAGTGAAATTTCTAAATTTCTTGAGTACAATAAATACATCATCAAATATCAGTTTGACAAAACACTAAAATCTTAACATCTGTCCAATGTCAACCATTTTTAAAGCAACTAGTAATGTAAGCAATAGGTAAAAGAACCCCACCAACTGGTACTATGTAAGATGCATGCCTAAATCATCACATAATCTCAACTAATCTCAAACACACTTATGTGGCTTCTGAGACTATGACATACCGTTATCTATAAAAATAGACAAAAGCACAGACAAAATTCAGGCTTTAGGATGCTGGTACTTTATTTTTTTACACCATACACCACCCTATTTTTAAAACAGATTAGTCATATGGTGTCAAAAAACACATAAGCAAGTCTATTTGAGATTAACACTTCAACGTGGCTTGATGTAAAGGTGTGATTATTTAGGCATCCAGTTAGCACAATGTTAATAAGCACTCATTACTTATGGGCTAAGTTATTGTAGCTCCAGTGCAAAACAAAGAGGCAAGACACCAAATAAGCACTGGTTAAGTGGCTAAGTTTGGGGTAAGGGGGAAATTAGTTCTTTTTTCTTTTTGTTTTTTTTTGGATGAACTATACCTTTAACTCAACTGGCCCAAGACCACAAACGATGAGCTGGTCTCTACGTTACTAAACATGCCAAACACAACACAGTCCCGGGAAAAAAAAGCATTCTTGAGAGACGCAACACATCTTTCATCAGTCCAATGAAAAATTACACAATAATACCCAGCGAGAGTTGCTGGTATTTGGGTGAGGAGGTGAGAGCTGCTCCAGAACATAAATGAGAGGAGTCAAGCTGCAACACAAGTGTTATGCAGGCCTGTTTATTTGACTAAGTTCTTTAGCTGTATAAAGTGAAATTCTTTAACCGTCAACGCCAAGTGCACAATCCCTCCTTTGTTTATATGATATGATGTCAGGTACAGGAAACCACTCACCACTTCCATCCTGAGCAGTGCCGCTCTCCTTTAGATGTATATCATTTTTTGCTTTGTTTTTCTGTGTAAGGAGATAAAAGGTTGAATTTACAACATAGAAGAGATTGTTTGTGACAGTAATAATTTAAAAGGGTAGTTATCATCAATAAACAATGATTATTACATTAACAACAAGCTTACGTAAAGATTTCTCAAAATTTCTGCATAATTATAAGATGATGGTGTAAGCCAAGTCATTCAGAATGGTCTCACTGTTCTAGAGATTCAGAATTGTTCATAGTGGTGGTGACAGGAACCAGACGTCTGAAGAGTTTAATGCTTCTAAAAGCTACATTACAGCAAGTTATCATATGAAATGCTTATGAATATGCTGCCTGAAGCCTGAGACATTTTATGATAGTTTGGAGAAGGTTTTCGCCTTTAATGTATATTTTTCTAAATACATTCATGGTGGGGCGGTACATGCAGGGTGTTACAAGGCAAAATAGTCCCCATAGAAAGCTTACTTTTTTCAGATTTACCTCTGTTTTACCATCATAAACATTACATATAAACACTTAGAAGATATGCATAGTTCACAGGTGGTTTTGGATCGTAAATAAACTGGCTATATTTGTGTTGTAGACATTGTGACATTTCTCAACATCACTCTAAAGTTTAAACTGATAAAGTTTCTCTACCATGAACCATTTTACAACAAACCACTATGAATGACTTTTTTTGCATCTTAACCACTTAAGTATATAGAAATTACTTGTCATGCTAAATCTAAACATAAGAATCACATCTCATGGCTAGATATTTGTCACATTCCAAACTGGCCTAAAATGATCAGTGCTGCATGCCCTGAAGATTACATAACCATGACCTCATCCACAAATTCCTTGCAGTAATACAGCACATTGAGAACAGCACCTGGATGTCCAACCAAACTCCACCCAACTGCGTATTTCAGTATAGACACTGTGACTGCATGCTTGCAAGCAAGTTTAAGCATGTCAACTACGTCTTATTTACTCCCAGCTAACCTACAACAACAATAAGGTGGCTGTCTCAAAGAGGTATATAAATCAACAGCTTTGACTGACACTCACACCTGTGTAGAGTAGCCTACACCCATACTTAGGTAAAATAATGACTCAAGTAAAAGTACAAAAATACCAGAACTTCAGCATGTCCAGCATGTATCAGCACAGGAACGGAAGTCTATTAAGCTTTATTCTTCTCTTTTTTATGTACTCTTGGTCTAAAATAAATGCTCCAGAGAGTGAGGTCAATGCAAAACAGCACTAATTCGGTCACCAGCATAACAATGAAAAAAAGGGAATTAGTAACTAAATGTCAATCATAAAGTGTAAGTGAGCAGAAAAGTGTATTACTTTCTTCAATATGTTAAATTCAGCAAATAAACAGTAATTATGCATTAAATTGTGTAGAAGCATAAGCAAGAACTTATTTTCAAAACCAAAACATGGAATTTGACCAGGGCCGCCCAATTTTTGCATTCAACTGTATGTGATATGCAACGCGTGCAAGACATGTTAAACTCTAAAGATGAATCACGTTAGTTTTACAAGGCCATGACTATAAAATCATACACAAACACTCACATATTTAGCTGACATTCTTATCTAGAGAGATTTACAATGCTAAGGGATTGCAGCAAGGACTGTTATTGGTATAGAAGTAGCATTCTTGGCCGATAGTAATTCAATTTACCGTCATGTAAATCAACCAACACAGTCAGCATCACCCTGAGAAAAGTGCTATTGATTTTTTCATGAAAAACTGTCTATACTCACACATAAAGTAAATAATGTACTGATCAGGATGCACTAACTCACAGTTTAATAATGGGACTAAGACCACCCTTATATCTCAGATTCTTCATTCTTATCTTTATGGCCTGATTTGCCCATTACAAGCAGTAACCATCAAGCAGTTCTCAGGTTTAGTCTCAGTCTAAAATTTCTTATAGGTACTAAGCTTGCAACTGCAATTCTCTTACATTAGTGGTTCTGAATCCCAGCACTGCACATTTGCATCTTTCCAGTTGTATTTATTTAAGCCCTTCATGAGCAAAGTCAGGTGTGTTAGAGGGGGAAACAAAACTGTCCATTGCACAAGAACCAAGCATTGAATATCACTGTTCTAAGACTGCAAGAAATATCAACAGATGGACAGGATGGAAACTCCTGTTAATGCCATGGTTCTTACCGCAGACTGTGGCTAGCCATCCTAAACTAAACAAGAAGACAACACGTGAACCGTATCATATAAACTACTCCAGTGAACGACACCAGCCCAAAATGGTATTTTTTTCTTTGCTTTTCACCATCAAGTCATAATTCTCCACACTTTTCCACTCGTTTTACAAGTGCTGAAATACGGGCGCTCATTTATAAATCCAAAGGGAACACTTCCTCAGCCACCTGAGGGAATGTGCAGTTCAACTGTGAACGTTTAAGGCTTCTCAAGGCCAGTGCTGTTCACAGGTGATTTAAATGTTTTGAAGCTTTTGTGCCAAAGTCAAAAGTCAGATATACCCACATGGTGCAAAATGTCTCAGAAGTGAACAACTTTACACAGTTCAGTGAGGAAAAGTTGGACTCAAAGTTGGATTTTCCAAATGGTAGACTACTGCTTTTTACAAGTACAAACTGGATCACAAACTCCTTTCTTTATACATATATAAAAATATAACTTTCAATATAGTATATTGCAAATGAACACTGTAAAACTAAAACATCCCTCTCATACACCATCTTTCATGGAAATCAAGATCACTGACCAAAACCAGGTAAAATAGATCACTATTTTGTACAAAGACATGTTACTTTGCAATCTCTTGTTTAGAAATAAAATTACTAATTACTATTACAAAAACTTCAATCAGCGCTTTGACACTTTCAGCAAACTAGTTCATGCGGAATTCAAACTCTGGTCTGGAGCCTGCATTAAGTAATTTAATCATGAAAATCTAAGAGTGAAGGCATATCTGTCAGTGGATCCAAGTCTTCCATGGAGCTGTTTAGGATAAACAACCAAGCCGTGTAAAAACTACAACCACAAGCCAGATGAGGTCATCATATTGAGAATTCAGAGCAACCTTGCTCGCCATATTATATGTATCTTAAGTAATATTAACGTTTGCAAAATGGCACAAATAAAGCATGAATGGAAAACTCAGCAAGGCATTATTTTAATGACCTAAAGCAGCTTAAACCACAACAAGCCATTCCACATTTGTCAGCCCTCTGAAGCAGGGCACCAAATGTTCTGCAGTGTTAATGAACCCTTGGCTTTATTACTCACTGGCCTACATGTGGTTGTGTGTTTTTATGTTGTTCTGAATGAAGTGGGGCTCGCCTGCATTAGCCTTTGGAGATTTTCACACTTCTCCAGTTGCTCATGTCAACCACACACTCACATGTCTGCGTGAGGAACACAGCCTGGATGGTGCCTGTATGTGGGTCACGTCAGAACTTGGGAGGTACTGAGGGCACCGTGTCCGTCAGATCTAACACGAGTTCGGCTAAATCTGCCAACAATCTGGGCTAATCAAAGCTTTCCTGAGCTTCCCCTGAGGGCCAAGATTTTCATACTGGAGAGTGTGACCAAAACAGTTTGTTAAAATTGTGAAATTTCAATTCATTCTAAATCATAAGTAGAGTAACCTAAAACCAAACTCAAGTAAAATACTGTTACTTGTGTGAAATATTAAGTCAAGTACAAGTAAGTACTTAAATACTGAGTAACTTCTAGAACTGATGCAGAACAGCTCAGTATATCCAACGTATCTCAACATGGAAACTGAAGTTTGTTTTTACAATTTTTGGATCTTTTTCGTCTAAAAGAATTTTGTAACTTTCCAAAGTGTGACCAATAAAGCAATACAGATGCAGTCACCAACATAACATACTGAAATTAAACACAAAAAAGAAAGTAGCAACAAATGCGAATGACTAATATGTAAATGTAAAATTCCCTTAATTTCTTCATAATTCAGTTAACTGAGATGTAAACAAACCCATCCAGAGCACTTGTGATGTGAAATGGTTTACTGTGGAGAAAAATACAGCCATTTTATTTACTTTCCAACCCCACCAGTGAACTTACGTGTAACATCAGGTCACATATATCCCATTTTGGGTGATAACCTTCTATGAGGTAGATTTTAGAGGCATTCAACTCTTTAGACGTCTGGTTCCTATCACCACCACTGTGAACAATTCTGACCTTGCAGGTTTCTCTAAAACGGAGCACTTAATATCAGGCCTCTCTGAATGACTTGTTTAATTCATAAACATTTAATCATGAAGAAATGTAGAAAAATCAGTGGAATGCCCCTTTAAATAAGTGTAACTGAGTACATGTAACTAGCCTACCAACTATCTTACTACTTTATTAAAGAAAGCTGTTTTAGAGTATTTTGGTCCATAAAGCAAAACAATAAAAGGACAATACCTAAAATAATAATAATAATAATAATAATAATAATAATAATAATAATAATAATTTAATTAAATTTAATTAATACCCTGCTGCCAGACTGCTCATGATACAATCTGCTCCCTAACTTTAGGCTAACGGTATTTCATAATAAAAGGCGGAACAACTTTGCCTGGTGCTGATTCGTGCGGAAATTAATTTGAGCCCATAAGCCTAATTTCTGTTTTCATGAGGAAAACACATTATTAAAAACTAGACCCAAACGAAGAGGTACAGCTAACAGTCTGCACGCCCAGCATCTGTTTCTCATTAAGACATTCACAAGTCGAGGTAGACTTGAGTCTGAAATGGCCATTTCTACACATACACACACTGCTAGCCCACTCATAATAATAAAGGAAGTGGGTTAAGCAGCTCAAATGAAGCAGTAAGCAGAGCTCTTAAAATGTCACATTTCCAGCTTCGCCTGCCTCAGTATAAGCCTGAAGTCTGTCCGCTTTTCATTCAAACGGTGTGTCTGTTAATTGTGAACAAGTGAAAACTGAAGTTTTGAACTTACCTTCTTCTGCCGGACGTGGACACACATCTTACTGCTGTGACACCCCATGCCTTTCTGCCTGGCCTCTTGGCTCGAAGCTCGGCGTGTGAGGCAGAAGAGCTGCTCAGACTACTACTGCTCTTTCAGCATGAGCCCTTCTACACAAACTCTGAGAGACTGAAAGTCTGCGGCTCGTGAGTGAGGGACGTGAACGCGCAGCAGCAGCGCTGTAAACGAGGGGCGGGAACGCGCGCTTCAGCTTCTCAACCTGTATCCTTTTAAAGAATGGCTACAGATGTTTTGCTGAGTTCTCGTACCACATGGCTACACAAAGACAAAAATGACAATTATTTGGACAGAAAAAAGTCCCCAAAACAGTGTAATAACGCGCCTTTGATTGGACGCGGTAGGATTTGAATTTTACCTTAATTATCGTGAAAGCTGCGCAGTTCAATTGTCACTGTGAAGTGAAGCGACAGGTTTTGTTTCGCCTACTTACAGCGACAGAAATAATGATTTGGATTTTTTCATTCAATACTAACAACTTTCGATGTTGTAAATTGAACTTTAATGCAACTAGTTGTGTGTAGCTTAATTTCAGTGCAACTTGACACGAAGCAGTTGATAAACAAGCAGTGTGCGCACACATTTGATTACTCCACTGGTTTGCCAGATGAGTGGCCGGTATTTTTTAATACATCGTATTGTTTCACTATATAAAGTCATTTGCGCATCCTCAGTAGACCTTGTAGTATTTACTTGTTTAATTAATCCACTTGAATCAACCGTTTGAAATAACGTAGTTCGACATGATCACGTGACGCGTTATCGGCGTTTTAATTGGCTGTTTCATGAAACTGATTTGAAGAAGTTGAAACGCTTGCAACCAGGACTGTTCATTGACTTTGCCAAGGAAATCTGAAGAGATAACTTGAAGGACACTGTGTGAAATCGTGTCCAAAGCTTTGGAGTTTCCCAAATGCCTGAAATAGAGGAATCGGTTCTTTTTGGGAGCCCTACTTGCAGCTGTTGTGGCTGAGTGAGTTGCAGGATGGTGGCGTTAATGTCATGTAAGTTTCAAGCAACTGATGTTGAAAAAATAGAGTTTCATTGTGTAAAGCCTGACTTATTGCTTTAGTGATATTGCATAATTAGTTTTGTTATGTAATCATTTTTTTCCACAGGCGTCACAGACCACTGAAGTCATGTTGTTGGCGTCATTCCCAAATAAGGAACTTCTGGTGTTTTTCAGAATCCCTGCTCTGTGGTAATCAAAAATGGTCCAAAGGTGATACTTTTTTGCCCCTATATATCATTAGATCCATTGAATGACAAGGCCATTATGGAGTCACAATACAAATATTGCTGTGTCTATGCTAAGCAAGTTAAAACTCTTATGTTTAATTGTCCTAATTCTACACATTAATACTGTTATATAACACCAGCTACTCAAATTTTAGGTTACTTATGCTAAACTGACTTAATCACCACAATTGACAAAGCTTGCTTTTTTGAGCTGGGCATTTTGGTGAGGTTGCCAGTCTTATGATGTAAGTTCAATGTACAGCAGTGTTAGCTTGAATGTTTGTAGTTTGACTCCATCCATCCATCATCTAAACCACTTATCCTTCTGGGTCGCGGTGAGGTGCTGGAGCCTATCCCAGCTGTCATTGGGCGGAAGGCAGGATACACCCTAGACGGGTCGCCAGTCCATCGCAGTAGTTTGACTCCTTAACTGTAAAAAAGTACATAGGACAAAGGATATCAGCTTTAGAACACTTGTTGCTTTTCAGGGTTTTTTTTTAATATTATATACTGTCATAAAAGGTATATACTATGCTGCAATCCTATTAGATAAATCATGATTTTAGTTACTACTTAATTCATACAATTCTAATAAAAAGCTCAACCATGGCAGCACAGATGGTTTGTGTTTACGTTGCCTTATTTGATTTGATCTCATAATATTTGTTATTTTGTAACCATTATTAAAGTGTCATGACCAGTTAAAGCCAAATTTCTATGCTCAAATGTTTTTGATCAGTTTCAGGCTTTTTTAATGCTAACCTTAAATTTGTATTCAGCAGTATAAAGTTTCTCACTGTGACTTGAGCTAATAACTTTGTAATGGAAAAGGTTACAGTAGGCTATGATATGCTACAGTGCCCCTGGCAGAGATGCAAGATCTATTTTTGGCCTGTTGGCCTTCTTATTTGGTTTATATTAAGCATTGGTGTGATAGCCTACCTCAACTGTGGATCATCTTGGGAATTTGAAACACTTTCATTTTTCTCAAAACCCAAGTCTATTTATAGCGGAGGGCCCTAATCTGACATAAAAAGATAGAGCAGTTGTTGCTGTGTGTGAACACAGGAACTTTCCATGGTCCAGCAGCTGTGGAGTCTCAGTTAGCAGCAGGCCGTGCGCTCATTGGCAGAAATAACAAAGTGGCAAGCTGTCTGATAAGTCAGGATTTACACTGCTATCTGCAGAACCAGTAACACCACAATCGCATAAAGCACTGTGTTTCTGCTAAACAGGGGGATAAGCCAAGGATACAGGCTAATCACATATGAGGTCATGCTCTTAACATGAAGCTTGAGCTTATTTTTTCCTTATCAGGGAACACTTCATTCATAGTAACATTCAGTACAAACAGGGACTTAATGGGGAATTCTGCTTACTTTTTTAAAATTTCTGCATAATTTAAAAGTTGACATGTAAACACAGTCATTCAAAGTGGTACAGTGTGAAATAGTTCTTTGTAGAGAAATCAAATCTGATTTTTTTTTGCTTTGAGGTATGTTTTCTCTTGTTTGATGGGTGTGTCAGAGGTGTTACCCAATCAGCAGCAACCTGTATATAAACCTGCCAGATTAAAAATGCAGTGCACACTATGGATTCTAATGAAGTCCTGTACAAATGCTGCCGCTGCAGCTTGGTATATGCAACAATTGAAGATGTCAGAAGACGTATTTTGAAGTAATAAACAGGAATTTCATCTCATTTTATCAGGCTCTGAATATTCTTTGAAAAGGACACCATGAATTGACTTCTCGGCTGCCATATAAAATCTAAAAATTACAAATATTACTGCCATAGTTGCAAAGCTTGCATAACACAACAGCGTGTTCAGCACACCCCGGTTTCTGTTTAAATAAGCGTTCTGCTATTTTTTATGGGTTAAGATGTAAAAAAATCTCATCTACAGTGGTTTGTTGCAAAATGGTTAATTGTAGAGAAACTTTATCACTGTACAATGATGCTGATAGGAACCAGGGAGTCTGTTTTTGCCTTATAATTCCCTGTTTGTTAATCTCAGCCAGGAATAAATACGTGCATTAGTCTGTAACCTGATCTAAACTATCAAAACTATCATCAAATTTCAGGTATCAGGCAACATATTCATATCCATTTAATGTAATAACTTTCTGTGACGGAGGTTTTAGAGGTATTAAACTCTTCAGATGTTTGGTTCCCATCACCACCACTGTGAACAGTTTTGAATTTCTCTAAAATGGAGCATTTCACATCACAACACCCTGAAAGATTTGTTCACATTCTAATGATTTAATTATGTAGGAATATGGAAACATCGGTGGTATTTTCTTTAAGTTGTGGAGTGAAATCCACAATCAGATTCGCAGTTTAAGACCTGTGGGATAGAATTAGGCCAGAAGAGGATTAAATAGGCTTAGACAAGTCACAGATTTTCCTGATTTGGGGAGATCGTTAAATGACACCCAGCATTTAACACATGGTTAACAACATTTATAAAGAAGCTTTCACAACACATTATAAAGAACAGAGAGCAGAGCTCATTTATGATTTCATTATCTTACATTTTTGTTGCTTGATTAGGATTATAGTCTGCTGATCAGTGCTGCGGTATATGTAGTTGAATAATTTTTAATAAAAATAAATCAAGTTCTAGATATTAATGCTGCAAAAAATAGGTTCCCATGCACTTGCCTGGTGTCATTATGAAAGACATTGCCATTGGTTAGCGAGGAGCAATCATGTTAAAGGTGAAGGAGCGTCCCAAAGTTCTGAAGGACAGCATTATTAAGCAATACAATTAATCCAACAGTAGACTATGCTTGGTTGACTCCAGCTTTCCTTATAGAGAGCCAAATACATAAGGGATCCACTTCTTAACTCCCTTTAACACTGAAAAAAACACCAAAAAAACAAAGTTTTTTCTCAGTAATTCTTTTGCAGTGGTCATTATAGTTTTGATTTAGTTTTGTATTCATTTTTTTTTATTACTAGTAACAAGCACTTTTTTTCACTGCTAATTTTTGTTTTGATAAATTTGGTCAACTATAATAACCCTGAGTGGAAGTATATTCAATAGCAAAAAAAAGTGCCTGAAGTTTCCACTCACTTTGTGCATTTTATACATGGAGACATGACTGACCACTTCATTAAGCACACCTCCTTGTTTCTACATTTGTTGTCCATTCTTTTTTAGCTACCATATAGGAGCACTTTGTTGTTCTATAATTACAGACTGTAGTGCATCTGTTTCTCTGCATACTTTGTTAGCCCCATTTCACCCTGTTCTTCAATGGTCAGAACCACCACAGAGCAGGAGGTGGATCATTCTCAGCACTGCAGTGACACTGACGTAGGGGTGGTGTATTAGCATGTGTTGTGTTGGTACGAGTGGATCAGACACAGCAGTGCTACTGGAGTTTTTAAACACCTCAGTGTCACCAACCACAAAATATTCAATCAACAGCGTCCACTGATGAAGGGCTAGAGGACAACTAACGAACAGTGCGGACAGTGAGTGGACACAGAGTTTAAAAACTTCAGTACCACTGCTGTGTCTGATCAGCTCAGACTAGTGCAACACACAACCACCACATCAGTGTCACTGCAGTGCTGAGAATGGTCCATAACCCAAATCATACCTACTCTGTGGCTGTCCTGACCACTGAAGAACAGGGTAAAAGAGGTATAACAAAGTATGCAAAGAAACAGATGGAATACAGTCTGTTATTGTACAACTACAAAGTGCACCTATATAGTAAATAGACCCAATAAAATGGACAAAGACTGTAAATACAAGGAGGTGTATGACATATGGACAGGGTTTGTATGTTTATATGCCTTTGTACAATAGATGTATGTGGTGCACCAACCCGAGAAAAGCTGGAATACTCTTGCACCTCTGAGCTCTTTAAAAAAAAGTCAGACTCAACCTCGCAGTCGGCTGAGAGATAACATTCTTTCCACTGCCTTCTAGACCATGTGTGAGCTTTCACTCTCTCACTCACATACCCACATACACAGACAGGTAACAGCTCCAGGAACACTTCATTTAACAGCTTTACAAAGGTATAATTTTAAAGCTTATGGATATTGAAGAAAACTAAAGGGGAATTATCAACTTACAGGTATACAAACAGTACAAAAAAGCACAGATATACTTGCTTTTTTTACAGTAGTTTCTAAATCTCATCATGAAGTAACATGCAATGTTCAGAACTATAACCTATTCACTATATACAGCAGTGCACTAATTTGGAATCCTGCAATTGCAGTGCAAAAAACATCAAAAAAAACAAAAAAAAAACAGCAGAATATCCTTTGCACTCTTACAATCCCACAATGCGATGCAATAGCAATTGTCCAAATGATAGCTGCACTCCAAAAGCCTGACTTCAGCTGAGAAGGATCCTCATTGGTATGACATAATGCAAGACAGAACAGTCTACCAGGGCCGCTTTAACACGTCTGCAGAAAGGAGTGCTCGAGATTTGTTTGTAATTAAATGCTATCCTGCAGGGTAAAAAGTGTTGAACATCAGTGCTCAAACTCTGCGTTCAGTTTACACCCTCCTAAACAGATACACAACTAAAGAAACAGTGCACTGTATACCGTATTATACATTTTACTGGCTTTTTTCAACAATGCGTAGTAGTTGACTTCACTTGTCGGCACTTCTCTTGAACTTTCGGGTCACTTGCGTGTGCAAAGCATTATGGGAGGCAGAGGGATACTGCGGAAGCATCCTCTGTTGTATGCAAATGGTCCTTCTGACTGGAACATCTTTCAATGATATAATGGTCTCAAAATGCAGCCCACATAGACCACAGACTACCATTTGGAATGCAGCTGATGATCCTAGATACTGAACACCCATAATGCACTGCATCATGTATGACAGAATGCAACTAATGTTGACTTTTTAACTCAGCTATTATGATTCTAAAATATAATCTTTTTAACATTTTTGCATCATTAACATTCTTAATTAACAAACATTATTAATGTAATTTTTAATATAATTTAACATATTTCTTTGTCATGGACAGTGACCACTGAAAAGCTATATTAACAAAATAGTACAGTCAGATTTAACCCAAAAGGGCTCATTTTTTCACCTGCTGACTTTTAAGCAGCTTTCATTTAAAAGTACATATTAAAAGAATCATAAAACATACAGAATATAACACCATAGCATATTTGACAGTAAATGCACATCAGAATATATAGGCTAACATAGATAAGACGTGTACGTGTATTATTTAGAAGTTTATTTTCCTTTGCTGCAGTCGGCATTCAGCCACAAGCATATTAGTGAGGTTAGGTAATGATGTTGGATGATCGGTTCTGGATCACAGTTGCCACTCTAACTGATCCCAAAGATATTGGATGGAGCTTCACCACTCCAGAGAAAACTGCTCTACAGCCAAATCTGTGGTTGACCATTCAATTGGTTAGTACTTTTCTATGGAGATTATACAAGCTCTGTGGGCACACTTGAACACGCCTCAACAATGGTTGCACCTTAATTGCTAAATTCATTACTTTTGGACATATAGTACATGGCTATTACAGTCAATGTTAGTAGAAAAGCAGATATAGAGTATATAAGCATATAATTTCTGTTTCAACACATTTAACCATTAGAAATGTTCATTAATAACAAGCATTTATGTTAAATAAATAAACACAGAACACAGCAAGGAAATGACTGGATGATATTTACTGATTCAACGTTATTTTGTTGACTACGGTGGGCCTCTCTACTGAGAGTTCCACCTGCACATCTGGAACGATGCTGGTGGAAGAGGGCTCGGAACACGCTCTGTGGAATCAGGAATTCCAAGAATGACGATAGCAAGAGAGGAGACCTGGCTGAGCTTTTACAACCCCACCTCCTGCAAACTGCAGTGTGCAGACTTCAGCCTCAAGAGCATTATTTTTACAGCTGGCAAACTCGTCATTTTGAAAATAGCTTCATTTGAAGGCAGCTATCAGTTTTGTGTGTCTACATAAGTGAAAGCCAAGCTTCTGTACACTGAAAAGAACCATAACAAATTCATCACAAAAATGTGCAAAGTTTATAGTGAAAAAAACAAACTGTGGCCTGTGTAAAAGTTAAAAATGTTCAATTCAGCAAATAAACAGTAATTGTGCATTCAAATGTGCTGGAGTTTGTTATCATTGGGACGCCCATACTTTTGCATACAGCTGTAAATCAGGGGTGCCCAAACCTTTTGACTTGTGGCACAATGGGCTTGTAATGGGCTGAGGGCCAAAAAGATAAAATTGCATACAAATAAAAAGGTAGAAGCTTTTTTTTGTATTATACTGTATTTTATTCCTAAAAACAGAATTGAATATGTTGTAGTATATAGTATAAAAAATAGGGCTGTCACAATTACTTAATTAAAATACATTTCTCAATTATAAAAAATAAATATATTAAACTTTACATTCTCCATGAATCAGCTTAGTAATAGGGTATCAACAGGTCATAATAAATCAATGTTTAGCAGATTCTCCACAAGGGGGAGCTATTAGCACTCGTCACTTTTTTGTGAGCATCACTGAAAGGGTAGAAACCCACAGCAGCTGATACCCTGATACTACAGATTTTAAATTGTCCTGCTGATCTGTCTTACAGTATGAAACATAGCCTGGCAGACACACTTTTTTATTTATTATTTAATACATAGTGTTTTTTTATTTATGAAGTTTTTTCAAAGCCTTTTTCAGTAAACTATTCTGGAACCTGTGAAATGCTCTGTCTAATGTGTTTCACCCTTTAAAAACTAAACAAAAGACTACTAGATTAAGCATGATATAATTGCTACATTACTTCATTAGACTTCATTAGTCACACAAATAAAAATATGTTCATTCTCTAATTGGGTGAGGGAGTGGGGTTAGGATAACTTTCCTCTGGGCCAAATGAAACATCCTTACGGGCCTCACTTTGGGCAGCCCTGGCAGCCAGTGCTGTTCTTGAGCAGAACCTGATAAATCCGTTCAGCGAATCAGCGCGCAGTATTCGGGTCAGGTGATGCAACACTGCTGCGAACTGTTTTAAGCAGAATCTCAAATGGCTCCCTTCAAAGTTCAGTACGTACGTCTTAAAATAATGGCTACTGCATCTAAACAGGATTCAGCCATGTGTGCACAGTTCCATACTGGACATAAAGTGCAATATTTAAAAAAATCATAAATCACACAGTGCCCTATATAGGGAACAATGAGACATTTGAGATTCAGCCTTAGGATTTTCCAAGGTATGATCTTATAGATGTTTAATATTGCCCAATAATGGGCTCATTTTGTTGCAATTATCACCACTTTGCCAACTTGTTTTATGTTGAAGAATGTTAAATATTGCACTTAAAAGAAACGTGTATAAATTACATGACTTTGTTTAACTCTGAAACATAAAATGACCACTGGGGTTATCTGCTTTTGCCAAAAAAAGAATTTAATAAAAATAAATAAGTAAACTATTTTTCAATAAAGTTTAATTTTGTAAGTCTCAATTGCATTGAGTTATTTGCACTGATTGATGTTACCTGGAATGCACAATAAAAAAATAAATTAAAAAAAACATGATTTATGAAAATTCATTAAAATGGAGATCTGTTTTTGCAAATGAACTCTTCTCACTCATGCACACGCACACACATCCGAGGTGCGTATCTGCAGCTTTCTTTCGGCGCCATCTACTGTGCAAAGTGCAGAACACCATCTCTGTTTGGGAGCACTTCCCAAAAGGAGAGACTGACCTTTTCTACCATTGATTTTTATTCACAAACGACCAAAGGAAGAGTACTTCATTTCTTCTACACACTATCAGTAACGTCGTCAAGTGAAATCCACCAGATCTTCAATAAACAGAGAAGATTAAGAAGGCTGTTTATATATTAGCTCAAAGTAAAACGATTCAATCAACTCTGCTTACTTGATAAAAAGGACAGAGGAGACACTTTGGAATGTTACTTGAAGTTAATTTTACTGAAGCTTTTGATAAATTAAAGATTAAAGACATATAGCAAGTATTCTAGACGTAATACAGTGACAAAACACTGCTGGTATAAAATATAACAAATCTAACATCTTAAAAAGCAATTTATTTAATTTTTTTATTGATAATCACTGTAAGTTGAACATTTTTATTTAAAAGAGCTTATGTTTATGAAACGTTAAGCCTACAGCAGCTTTTAGAGAAAAACAACACATAAATCAGAGTACAAAAACAAAATTATTTGCCATCATAAGATCTCCCACACCCAAGAAAAAAAAAACCCTCAAGGCAGTCACTGTTCTCCCTTTGTTTCTGGGTTACAGTAAACATTCACATTAAAAAAGTGTACCTAAAACAATCTATTACTTTAACAGCTTAAAAACTAAAATCATGAATGCTAAAAATGATTGATTTCTTGTTTAAAGTGACATAATAAAATCAATACTTATCCTAAAAGGCCTTGTTGAGTCTTGAAAAATGCACATACATTAATCACTAATCATCTCAGATCAATAGTGCAGTGATGCATTATTTCTATGACCTAATCAGTGTTTTGATTATCTATCATATCACCTGATCAAATGACAAAAGAATAACAGTAGTTGAAATCACCAGGTACCATTTTCTGTCTGTACGGAATTTAAAAAAGGATCAGCTATTAGGATGTGCAAGCTTCTCATGACTGCCTGTCTTTAAATAGCCATGTGTCACCATGGAACAGAATGCAGATGTCCTGCTTTAAAGTTTTCCAAACCGTCTCCCTGATTTGGTAATTATCCTGAGTGTATGGTCAGGCTGACTTTGAGGCACCCCAGCTCTTTACCCGCACTTCCCAGAACCCCCTGCACGCGGTAGTTACCGTTGGTCAGCCAGAAGGGCAGGTCTATATGTGGCACATAGAAATCAGACTGAGGCAGACTGTAGTCCCCCTTGAGAGAAAGAAAACAGAAATGTGTTAGAATTGGGGCTATCAGGTGATTAAAATAATCAATCACATTGTCTTGTGTAGTTAACTGCGATTAATCAATTCACTCAATTCAGCCCTTAAAGACTTTTTTTCCATTTAAAAAAGCAGTGCATTTTTGTTATAGCTATATGTGTGGAAATAATAATAATAATAATAATAATAATAATCTTTATTCATATAGCACATCATGCTGGTGGCAGCTCAAAAGTGCTTTATAGACAGCTTAACAGTAAAAGAGAGTATGAGTATTATTCTGAAATCATATAAGAAAATGACAGATCAATTTAAAAGATAATTACCAGGAAACGTAGAATTTTAATGAATCTGCACATCTAACATACTTGAACATAAACAGATACACTCTGTGATGTAAGTGTTTTAAGGTCATTTAGAGCCTTAAAAACTGGTAACAGAACTTTAAAATCGATCCTGAAACATACAGGTAGCCAGTGTGGTTCTTTCAAAACAATTTCTTTTTAACAATATTTCTCAAATGATGAAAAATTCAAAAGATAAAACAGAGCCCAGAGCCTAAGATTACACCCAGGTACTTTAGGTTTGGTATATGAAGCTAAAGAACTGAGCTTCTCATAAAGCAGGTTTCTCTGACTTTTTCTGAATTTTAGTACCACAGAACAGTATTTCAGTTTTTTCGTGATTTACTTGTAGAAAATTTTGCGACATCCCCTGAGAAATTTCTGACACAGCTGCTCTACAGAGTGTTAATCATCAGAAGGAATGGAAATGTCTAATTGTGTGTCATCAGCATAGCTATGAAAATTTCCTAATGACATCACCTAGAGGTAACATGTACAAAGACAAAAGCAAAGGACCTAAAACTGAATCTTGTGGGACTCCACAAGAAATATTACTTTTTTTTGATGAATGATTTTCCACTGACTTTACTTAAAAATTTAAGATTTGAAATTGGTCTAAAATTATTTAGTATGAAAGGCTTCATTCTACTTTTTTTTGCAGATGCTTCACCAAGGCAGTTGTAAGAACTGTTGACAGAAAACAGATTACAATAGTTAATAATTAAATAAGCTTCTTTTAGTTTCAGAATGTATTTATTACTCTTAAGAATTCAATAACATTTACCACTAGTTTATGTCTTGTTGATTTCATTTTACTTCACCTTTGTCACTGCTACTTAGAATACACAGAATGATTAATGGAAAAACTATAAACCACATAAACAGGGAACAAGATTCCTACTTTGTTTTCGAAGGGGCCATATTCTACATTTTTCTTGTATTTTATTTCAGTTGTAATTAATTTTAAATGACCATTTTCCAACGGCTCTTTATCCATTATGATTAACGTCTATTCTGTTATCTGCTCAGTCATGTGTAAAAGTGTGAACACTTGTCAAATTCCATGTTTTGTTGATTTTCTACGTAAATATAAGCTAACACCTCCTTTACAGGGAACAAACTTAAATATGGTGGTTTTCTGCTAATTTTAGTGCACAATTTCTATTTATTTTTGTTTAACATGAACAAAAATAAAACATAAAATACAAAATGTGCCATAACTTTTCTACGTTACATATTTTGCTTTATCTCCCTCCCATATGTTAAATTCAGCAAATAAACAGTAATTGTGCATTAAAATGTAGAGAAGTATGTTCTCTGTAGAGGATGTGTTCACATGTTTTCCCAAAACACACACATCATTTGGACAGGGGCACTCAAACTTTTGCACACAACAGTACTCCTATGTCCGATCCACTCATACCAGCGCAACACACACTAACACACCACCACATCAGTGTCGCTGCAGTGCTGAGAATGATTCACCACTCAAATAATACCTGCACTGTGGCGGTCCTGACCATTGAAGAATGGGTTGAAAAGGGGCTAACAAAGTATGCAGAGAAACAGACGGACTACAGACTGTAGTTGTAGAACTTCAAAGTGCTCCTATATGGTAAGTAGAGCTGATAAAAAGGATAAAGAGTGTAGAAAGAAGGAGGTGGTTTTAATGTTATGGCTGATCAGTGTATATAAATAAGCTCTGTTTTAAAAAAGCAGTCCAGGCTGAAATGCCTGAAATGTTCAGGACCTCAGGGAAAATAAAAAAAACAAAAACAAAACCAACACTTTAACTGCTCCGTTCAGATGTCTGGATTCTTTGTAAGGCTTCAATAATACATTTGCTTTATGACAGAATAGCATTTAACAGTTTCCTGACATCTTTGGCTGCAATAATTCTCCTACAGACTGTCTGCAGTTACAACACTCTGTATCACTTCAACACTCAATGCGAATGGGCAGGCTAAACTGCTGCTGAATGGGTGGTTATATGTAAACGTCTTCATGGTTATGATATCACAACTAAAACTAATTTAAACCAGGTTGTTCTTGCAGCTTAGCTTCTGTATGTAGATTGTATGGACTGGGCAGTGGTACTTTACAGTTCTGAACTTTAACAATATTCACATAGTGCATCAAATGTTCAAAGAAGCAAAGGCTATTTAATTTTCTATGATATGGCCCCTTTAAAATGTGTGTTTAATCCCTTAACCTTCACAGAGCCCTCGGCAGAACCCAATGTCCATTTATAACTCCTATATCTTAATAACACCTCAATTGGCTGCACTGTTTTTATACAGTTAATAAGTAATACACCATGTGATGTGATGGAAGAGCTATAAAGACATGATAAGACTCTAATGACACTCACTGCTTTGAAGGGGCAGTGGCAGGGGAGGCCATATGTGTGCAGGGGCTCAGGGCAGTCCTGGCCAGGAGGAATGAGCTGGTTCAATATGTCACAGCCATCCGGGTAGTGGCAACTCCCCATCTCCTCGACACACGGTATCTTGACCCAGATTCCAGCCACCTCCTTCTCCAGCGTCACATTCACCTGAAACATAACAGTACCAAGTGTCATGGGTGAGATCACAGTTTATTTCTCCAAAGCCATAAAGTCAGGACAGCCTGCAGGATGCCATGAAAAAGGATATTATGCAGTTGTTGAGATAAAGTCTGCTTATCCTATCAATTCTACAGAGCCATGTGATGGTCACAAGGAGAAAAACAAATACAGGGCAACAAGCACAAGAGATACAACCAATCAGTTCCATGGGCAGAGCTGTCATCATATTAAGCTCAAACCAGCTCATACATATACTTTTTTATATAACCTTTCACTAACAAATTATATAGTCTATATAATCAACAAGGTCATGATCAATGGACTTGAACAAAACAAACCTCTAAGTTAGAGTGTGCTTATGCAAAAGGGTAGTGGCGAAACAAGAAAAAGAGAAGAGAACCATCGACTTCCTCTAGTTTGTGGGCAGACTTTGTGAGACTTGACTAAACCTTTATCATTGCTGGTGAATCACAATGTTCTGCATAACAAAATGCTCCATGGAAAGACTAGACAATGCTGGTATTTAACAATAGATTCTTAAAGCAGAAGCCAACAAGCTGTAGTATTAAACAACCTCATGCTGCGTAGTGTTCCCAAGCTTTCAGTGTTATTTTTCTGTTCTTTTAACAACAGTATTTTGTGAAACAAATTCACAAAATTCTCCTACAACTCAATAGAGTAAAACAGTACAATAATCCCAACAGAGTTAGAAGATCATATCAGTTCTGCTCTGTATCAGGTCTTACTATAAGACGAAGTAATAGCATGACCCCTGGATAATACTGCATCACTGCATTAGTGATTTAGTACAGTCTATAACCATATTACAGGAGTGCCCAATCACAGTTCTGGTGACCCCATGCTCTGTACATGTTTGTGTTTTCCTTACTCACATCTGACTCTGAGACGATGAGGAGCTTGCCCATTCGTTAATGAGTTGAATCAGGTGTGCTAAATGAGTCACAAAAATGTGCACAGCGTGGGGTCACCAGTGCTGGGACTGGAAATCCCTGTCCTATGGGTGGAGTAGCCTAAACCAAGGTGTGAAACACCTTGTTAACCTAATTAACCTCTTGGACCCCGTGAATGTCTCAAAATGAAAATTCTGAGCGGCCCCTGAAAATAAACTTATTATGATGTTTTTCTATGTATTACGGAAAAATAGATGCTCAAATACAAATTCAGGCAAAGGTCATTGTTTAGCTTTTTCTCCCACAATCAATGAGCTGTCTTTTGTATTCTTAACTGGCTGGAGCTGCAGCACTGGTCTGCCTCAGGGTGGTGCTGAAGCAAATTGGTTCACCTAGTTGGACCTTCATAGCCTAGCAACTGTAACTATGCCCAGGATACCTCAGAAAAACTTCACAATCTGATGTAACGTATTTGAAAATCTGAAAACTTGCTCAATTTCCTAAGAGACTGATGTAAAGAGTGAACTGTTACTCATTTCTCAAACGGAAGACACAAGAGGAGATGTGTAAGATCTCAATGTGTGAAAAAGCACATTGCACCAGGTCAAAAAAAAAAGTGGGACTATTCCTTAATGGTGTCAGACTAGGATCCTCTCAGGTCACAGCTCTGCAGAGCTTAGTCTTTTCCCTCGTCTGAGGCTCCGAATTCAATCCAAGGCCTTTCCAGTTAGCTGCTGAGTTGAATCAGGTGCATTTAACGAGGCAGATGCCTGAAGTCTGCAGTGCTGTGACCCGCGAAGACTGGAGTTTGACACATATGTGCTCAAAACAGCTCTAAACAGGGCTGACTTACAGACAGAGGAGAGACCAGCACCACTGACGTGCTGCCCGATGCGCTCGCAGTCAAATCTCCCGGAATAGTAATCGGGTCTGGAGACAGTTTAAGAGCCTTCAAAACAGCTGGATCATCAGGCTTTCCACAGTTCTCCCAGGAAAATCCTAAAATCTGACCAGGAAGAAAACATGTGTGACACGATCAGTTACTCCAGTTTCAGCATTAACATGTACAAACGGACCAGCCTTACCTGAGCTAATCTCCGCGGTCTCCTGACCTCCTCATCACACCTCCCGTGCATAAAAATAACACTGACAGTGAGTAAGGTAATAAAAAGAGGGGTCGAGCTCTTCATTTTACAAATCAGAGTCTAGCTAAACTTCACACTGTGCTGGTAAAAGCGCACAATAACGATGAGGTCCAGAATACACAGCGGACACTTCCTACTGCAGACTAAACCTCGAGCACTCGGCTGTCCAAAGCGGCGATCCTTGAACCCTGCAGACTCGGTGTTTACTGCAGGATCCAGCAAACACAAGCGGTTATTGTATTTTCTTCCGTGAGCTGCATTCCAGTACAATAGAGAGCCCTCTAAAGGCCGGAGGAGACCGAAAACACCAGAACCGGCAAAAATGTTCCTCATGTGAGTAAATGTAATAATGGTTTTAGCCACAAGATGGCAGTGTTTCACTGCTGTTTGCTTCCTTGTTAACTGTTGATAAGCGGCCAGAGAACCTGTAGAGAGGAGAATTACCACTCTGTACTGTCTTCCGGGTTTCTCAAACGCTAGAGGGCGCTGCCGAGCGAGTCCAAAGTGAATGGGTTAAGATGGAGCATTTAAGCAAAATCATAGTTTATAAATGCTTAAACATTTTTAATGTAAAAGAATACAATTGTTTCTGAATACTGAATATCATAAAACATTTTAACACTGCTGTTATATTTTTAAGAGCTTTTAAACTCGGGTTATAGAAGTTTAAAATGGCGCCTCATGTATGTCCATGAGGTCAGTGAACGTGAATAGCCAATGAGGAAAGTTCACTGCAAGTGATCAGAAACTATTTTACTTTTCGTTTTCAGCCGTTGAGCTCCATTCACTCCCATTCATTGAGGACTCACTTGTGGGCGCCCTCTGGCGTTTTGCAGTCATGTTTTTGATATAATGGGGGAAATAGGAAGTGGCCAGGCTCCTTATAAACTGACTCTGGAGCGGCTGATGTTTGACTGGACAAAGCTATCAGATATTTTGAACTAGAACTAGATAACAGATTGCATGAAGTACTTTATTGGCTGTAAAAGTCACATAGTGCTACTTGTGTGTATATCATTGACTCCAGGGCTTTTTATTGTAAATGGTATAAGCAGTACATTAGGGCCCCAAACCACCAGAGGACCCAAGTATGTATGTATGTATGTGTGTGTGTGTGTGTGTATGTATGTATTTATTTATTTAGTATTTTTTAACTGTATTGTTTTTTGTTTGCTTTGATTGTTTCATTAGTTGATATTAGCTGCTTTTATAATATTTCTTGTTGTGTTTTTTGCAAAAAAGCTTATCCTGCTATTTTTTGCAAAATTTTTGTGTCTTCGTATTGTTTATCACTGAGTTTTATTGTCATGCAAGTTCACTTCATAATCTATTATCATTTTGTAGCTTTTTACTCCCCTCAATGTAAACCAGAGCAAAAACAAAGATTGAATGAATGATTGATTTGTATATTTAATAATTAAAGGAAAAAGGGAGGAGAAGATTTTCTTTGATTTTTTCATTAATTGTCTTTTATTATTGCATACAAAATAAAATGACTGGATTGAGGAGGGGGGCGGGGTGGGGTGGGCAAGGTATCATTAAGGATCCCCCAATATTCAGAAACAGACATGGTGGACTCTTTCCTGTTCAGAAGCCCAAGCCTGCCTACTCAAGTCTACACTAGCTCACACCTGTAAGCAAGTCAGGACACCAGATATGAGTTATGACACACAACACTAGTGATTTACGCATTTACTTCAGCAGCCAAACATGGGAAGTCATTCATTTACTCCTTCTAAAAAAAGTTGGTGTGAATCCTGTGCTGTAATTCATTTTGGTGGAACACCGCTTGTCATGGACTGTATAGTGGCCATATGATAGCACTGCGAGTGTGCATGAGTCACCTTTAATCTCTCTGCGTGCGAGTGCACAGGTAAATGCCAGCCCCATATGTGCACAATAATCTCCTCATGTCTCCATCTGCAGTTGAACCGAACAGACTACACACCACGGAACTGGTCGTATTACTCAGGAAAATACCACTTGTCAAATTTCATACTTGGTAGAGATGTAATGAAGGGTTATAGGTTCTAGATTTACATCAGAGGGTGGACTAATTTGCCTGTTTCTTTGAACCGATAGTCTTAAGTGATTCATCTTGTTCTTTGCACAAGGTTTTCTTTTTATACTCCTTTTTTCATTGTCCCTCAGATGGTGTAGGACTGAAACTGACCTTTATAAAGAGCCCATAACATGGAAAAACAGATTTTCCTCACTAATTTGAAATAAAAGAATTTGATGTATTATGTAAATATTGTTAAAGCTTTAAAACACTTCACTGCACAGTCTGTACAGTCGATATGGACCATTCTACTGTATTTGTTTGAACTTCAGTACAACAGTATAAAAAAATAAGTATTTAGACCTTAAATATCTACAAGGATTATGTTGTTGTCTTTTTAAATGCATAGCAATGAAGATAATAATCTAAAGTAAAATTTATCATAACCTGAATATCTACAAAATCATTTTTAGCACGCTTTCTAGTGTAAAAATACTATACTATAAATAGTGAAAAAATACTTTCTTAAACATCTTTTGATTTCATCTTAAAGTGACATTGAAAGATTTAGATTTATCATTAGTTTAATTTTTGAATAAAAAACTTTATTTAAAAAAGTCGTCCATGTTTTTATGCCACTACTGAAACACAGAGTTTTAGTCCATAGGCGGAGCCTTATTTTAGCCACACCCCTGCATTTTAGAGCAGGAAGTGAGACTGCATCTCTGTCCCTCATGGCCACATGGTGAGCAGTTATCCCGTTGTTTTGTAGTTAATGTGTCACGAAGAACATCTCCTCCATTTCCGTGAAGACATTAACAATCCTGTCCAGGGTGTATCCTGCTTTTGGCCCAGTGACCGCTGGGATAGGCTTCAGCTCCCCCCCCCACGACCTAGAAGGATAAGCGGTTCAGAAAGTGTGTGTGTGTGTGTGTGTGCGTGTGCGTGTGTGTGTGGTGTGTGTGTGTGTTTTTGGTATATAAACCCATCCAAACATCATAAGTTGACCTCAGAGAAAAAAATAAAATGTAAGATAAATTGCAACTTTATTTATTTGTTTGTTTGTTTGTTTGTTTGTTTGTTTTATCATATTTAGTAATGCCAACTTCACTTTGTGTTGTATATATTTCATGATGAATGGAACGACTGAAAAGGTAGAAAAACTTTTAAGACTAATAATATTTTCCCCCCTCTCCTGTAAACTTACCAGTTCAGAGATATGAGGTTTTATTACGACAGCAACAATAAGAACCCTTTTCATTATGCATTATGGAGTATTTTAGATCATCTCACAGTGAATGACACATTTACTCCGTGCATCACTTGAACGTTCTCATATTTCACATTTGATATGACATTTATGTTTATTTGACGCAGTAAATCTTTGCACAGGCGCCGTAAATCTACTGTCATGCTCCTTTCTCTTCACTCGTCACATTTGCTCTTTTTGATGTCGTTATGCTACATGTGACATAAATTGTGGAATTCTGTTTCACAATCATCTCTGTGGGTATTTTCCCATTAAGCTCATGCACAATAACAAACATTGCCACTGTTGGTTAGTATGTGTTCAAGAACAGATAGCCATCATATTTGTGGATATGGGGTTCATATATCCTTTGGCAGATGAAACTATGTCTCTGGGTTTGTGAGTAAACGTGCTGGTTTCGTGTCGAGCTAAGGCAGTCTGAGATGGGGGCGAGTGTAGATATGCCGTTTACATAATCCAGATGATGCAGGTTTCTGAAGGAGTGTCACAAACAAGCCCACTGCACGGCACAAATCCAAATAATTTATTCTAGACAATTTCTGTTGCACATGATACAGAAGAGTGCAGCACTAGCATGCACTGGTAAAGGGGACGTCCACTGATTTTCCAAAATTTCTGCATAAAGGGTTCAGATGTAAACTGTAAATGGAGTCATTCAGAGCAGTTAAGTGCTCTGTTCAAGACAAACTTACAGAGTCAGAGCTGTTCACAGTGATAGGGATAGGAACCAGGTGTCTGAAGCATTTAACACTTATAAAGGTGTCCTCATGGACGGTTGTTGTATGTAATGGTTCTAGGGTTTTACGATAATTTTGAGAAAAGCTTTTAGCCTAAAATGTGCTTTTTAAAAGCCATTCCTGGCATAGAGGTACCTGCAGGATGGTCTGAGGCAAAATTGCCCCCAAAGAAAATATATATTTTTTCAGATCTTCCACTATTTTACCATTATCAACATTACGTGAACAACTTGGAAGACACATCATCGTTGTCCAAAAAAAATATGTACACGTAAACCAGCAATGTTAAGTTCAGTGTACTTATGAAACTAAAGAATAACTTTAATAAACGTGTGTTTAAATTTAAACACATATTTCTGTCTCATAAATGCATCTCATTTTAACTGTTTAAATTAGTTAAATCTACAATTTCAAGTTGATTGCATATTTTAATAGCTAATTTAATTTAATTGCTATTTCTGATCTACTAATTTTGACCATTTTGCCAAACACTGATGCATTATCCCTTAGTATGAATGTGATCAGTGTATGCACCCAGCATCCCTTAGTATGAATGTGATCACTGTATGCACCCAGCACAGATCCACACTCGGCAGGGAATATTAATATGTCCCTTCTAGCCAACAACATTAGGCCAGGCAGGCAGGCACATAAGGGAAGGTAGCCTAGACAGAATGAAACACATTCATGGTAAAGCAAAGGGAAAGAAACTCCCAGCATGCAAAAAGATGGAGCCAGGAGCCAATGGGAAGAATAAGTTTTACCCAAACTAGATTACGTTAACCAAACAAACATGTCACTGTACTTCATTTAATCAGTACATCTCACTTAGTTTCACTCAGTTATACACAATTGTTAAGTAACATTAATAAGAGAGGAATAATTAAAACAGCAGCAGTGCAGTTTATTTTTATTTTATTTATTTTTTTGTTGGAAGAAAACCCTGTATCTCCATTTTTGTTGTTTTTCAGTTTTTGACATAATTTGAAAATGCCTGTTGCCTTTTACATTGTGTCTTATTTTTATGAAGAATGGACCAAAAGAAATGGCTGAAAATGTCTGGTTCCATTAATGTACAAAAGTAAAGAATGTTTTTTTCTTCTTCTGTAAAGTTATCATTTTGGCGATACAAGGTTTGTTACACACACACACACGTGTGTGTGTGTGTGTGTGTGTGTGTATATATATATATATATATATATATATATATATATATATATATATAACACTATATAAATAAAC